AATTACATTCCACAGCACCCGACGCAGTCAAATGATCCCGCATTTCGCACAACACCGCCAACACAACAAACGTCTTCCGCGTCACCTAATTATCAGCCCAATTATCAGCAAACTGCATCATCAACACAACCCGCTACAATACAAGCGTCTTCATATATGCCTCCACAAGTACCCGGCACTATTGGCATGCAACCACCAGCGTTTGGTGTGTTTGGCGCTGGAAATCAACCTTCAAATCCGTATTCAGGCGGGATGCACTATGGTCAAAGTGTGCAGTATCCAAAGCAATAACAACAACCACAATGAATAAAGTTTTTAATCCCAGTTCTACTCGATCTGTATAGGAGAGAGTGCAATTCTTCTCAGTATCCCATTTCTATATTCTCTTTTTCTCTGCCGTTTTCTTCAAATATCTTATTTTAATTTCTTGGTTTGTGATTAGTTGAAATTATTGTTATTGATTGGTTCATTTATTTTAAAAAGAAATATAATAAAACAAACACAATGATAAACTTATTATTTTTTACTGAATGCAAGCTGTGCTTCAATGTATATTTTGTGACAGTGATAACAAAAAATGTGCCGCTGAATTTTCTCTACTTTCACTCTCTAACAAATAATAAAATAGGTGTAACCAACGTGTTTATTTGGCTCTAGAAAAATTTCACTAGCATCGATTTAAACAACGATAGATTGTTCGCCACTAATCTTGAAACTGTAGACTAGTGTGTTGAAAAGCAACACCATTTTCTTTTAGAATTTATGCCAAATCTATCGTCATAGAAGTTATATTGTTCTTCATGCCCTCCTGAGTATTGATTTTTTTGTTTGAGAAAAAGCAGTAGAGATTATACAGAAATTTCTCATTAGACATTTGCTAAAGCGTTCATTCTTGCACAAATTCATATTGCTTTTGAGAGAATGATCAAAGAGTTTTATTTTTGAAAAATATTTGTTCATCAAAGTACACCTAATTGTTTCGTTCGTGCTGGTTGCTCAGTGTAAAAATATTTGTTTCCTGAGATGAAAAGTATTTCATTTAGAAAAATGATAATATTATTCCTCCTTCTATTAGTGTTTGCGTTACGTAAGTTTATCATGCAGTAGTAATAGTTGTAAAACGCAGCTTCATTTTCTTTTTCTTTCCTTCTATTTCCTATCATGGGTGTGCACATCTATATATGTAGTTGATTCATACGGAAAAAAAAATACCAAGTAACAAGTCAAAGTACAATCGAATCGACCAGTGTAAACCATTTTTATAGTACAATAATCTTCATAAGAACGAGATTTGAGATTTGTTTGTGAAACGACATTTTATCTTATCTCATTTTAGATTTTGCCTTTATTTTTTTGTGAGTGTGTGTGTGACATAAGCGTGCGTACTTGCTCTTCGTTTGAATGGCCGAAGCGCATGAAGCCGTTGCATTTTCATTTCAAATTGGTCCCGATGGTGTTAATGTTGATCTAAGTTATGATGCATTGAAAGCAGTTATCTACAGTGGTTTAAGATCATGGAGATTACGACTTCGACGAGGTTTAAACTCATTATATAATAGTTTATATCCAGGTGGTCCAATTCGAGGAACAGCGTTTTGTGGAGCTATAACAATTTTATATCATTACGGTTATGATACATCATTTTCAATTATACCATGGCTTGAACAGCATGTGTTTGAACGATATTTTGTACCAAAAACTTCAAAATATCTAGCCTGTATTGCATTTGGTTGTGGAGTATATGTTATACTTGTTGAAACAAGAGTACAAACATTGAAAACATTATTTTCCTATCATGGATGGATGTATCAGACTCACGGACAAAATGCTTCAATTTTACCGAGAGTATGGACAGGATTAGTCAAATTATGCGTTGGACGAAGTCCATCACTGTACAGTTGTCAAAGATTTTTACCAACATTGCCATTGCCATCGTTGAATGATACAATGGATCGGGTAAGTTGCTTACAATTCTTTTAATCAATTGACACAACTGAGTATTTTTGGGTTCTAGTATTTGCGAACAGTGCGTCCATTGTTTGATGATCGTGAATATGCGCGTATGGAAAAGTTAGCTGAAGAATTTAAAAAATCACTTGGAAAACGATTGCAGCGATATCTTTGGCTCAAATGGTTGTTATCATCCAATTACGTAAGTGAATAACAATTAGGGGTGAGATAGTTCAGTTCTTTTTAAAAGAACGGGAACTGGTATCAGTTCTTTCAAAAAATTAAAATTGAAATAAAACCAGTGAACTTACTTACATTGACTTTGTGTAGTGCACCAGAGGTAGATGGTGTGTTTAGTTGACTAAACCAAATCAATATAACTAACTACCTCGGTTTTATTTTATTATGAATTCTTGAAAAGAACTGGTAGCAGTTCTCGTTCTTATGAAAAGAACTGCTAATCAGTTCCCATTCAACAGGAACTGAACTAGTGATCAGTTCTTAGGAACTATAGGAACTGGAACTGTCCCACCCCTAATAACAATTGTTTCATTAAAGTTACCATCTATCTTTGTCTTTTTGTATTTCGACCGAATATGTTCCTTCATTTCAAGCATTGTTTTTATATTATTTATTCTTGTTGTTTATAGGTCTCAGATTGGTGGGAAGAATATGTTTATTTACGTGGACGTTCAGCAATTATGGTCAATAGTAATTTTTATGGTCTGGTATGTTTTGAGAAAAAGATGTAATAAATTAGTTGGGTGTTTACCGTATTTTATATTTGGTAGGATGCGGTTTATATTCGTCCAACAACAATTCAATCTGCACGTGCAGCAAATTTAACATGTGCAGCATTTTTATATCGAACAGAACTTGACCATGAAACTATTAAACCGGTATTTGCTTTTATCGTTAGATAAATGACATTGCTTTTTTTATTCGTATTTTATTCTGTCTATTTCACAGTTAATGGTTCAAAAATTAGTACCATTATGTTCGAGACAATATGAACGTCAATTTAATACAGTTCGAATACCGGGCCTTGAAACAGGTATATAGATAAATTCATAAATACTATCTCATAGATATATTTTTTCCTTTATTTCTTCTATAGATAAAATTGTTCATTATTCGGATAGTCGTCATATAGCTGTTTATAGTAAAGGACGATGGTATAAAGTATATACATTCTACAACAATAAGTTGTTATTACCATGTGAATTACAAGTACAATTCAATGATATTCTCAAAGATACAACATTACCATCTAAAGGCGAAGAACATTTAGCAGCATTGACAGCTGGTGAAAGAAAACAATGGGCACAAGCAAGAAGTAAATATTTTTCAACGGGAATCAATCGATCATCATTGGATGCTATCGAAAAAGTATGATATTCTTCTCAATTTATGATCATTACAAGGCTAGTTTTACAATATGTTTCAACCACATTTCTCTTCTCCCTTTATTTAGGCAGCATTTATTGTAATTTTGGATGAAGATGAATACCATCTTTCAGCTGTAAGTGTTAACAAACTTCTCTAACTTATTTTTTGAATCTCGATTACCTTCATACTGAAATAAATTTTTACAGGAATTTGGATCTCTATCGGTAAATGACTAGTTTTATATATATGTGTATCTATATGTGTATAATATATACTAGAGCTACTTTTCCATAAACATTGTTTAACGTTTAACATTCTTTACACAAGTCTTTTGGTTTTATTTTTCACATTTATTATGGTGTTTGTGTTACGCTATAACAAAACATTTTCAATTTAACTTTTTAAAGCTTAATACGATTTGTATATTTTAGAATATGAGTCAGCAGTTCAATGATTATGCACATGCTATATTACATGGAAAAGCTCATGATAGATGGTTTGATAAATCATTTAACTTTATTATTAGTAAAAATGCTGTGGTAAGTAGAAGACAGTCAATCTTTAATAAACTTATTTCAGAAGACGAGTAAAAAATATTATTTTCTATTTTTAGTTTGGTTTCAATGTTGAACATTCATGGGTATGTATGTCATTTCAACGTAAATATAGAATTAAGTTATTTGGCATTAATTCAACTTAGGCTGATGCACCTGTCTCTGGACACATGGTCGAATTTGTTTTATGTGAAGATTTTGTTCGATTTGGGTAAATGATAATCTTATAACTCACCATGTAGACTAATTAATTTAGAGGAAATTTTTCTCTCTCTTATTTTGTATAGTTCAGAAATGTAGATGTTTTTGTCCTAAAATCTATGCCTGATCAGTTCCAACGATTATTGTTTGTTTTAAACTACTCAAAACTAAGAATATACTCCTATTTAATTAATAAGGTACAAATATTATTTTATTTATTTAAATATGCTGTTAGAGCTTTTGAGTCAAACCGACCCATCATCAGTACAGACTAAAAATATTTATAATCGAGCAAAAGTGCATATAGTTCGATTATATATATATAATCACACAGTTTTTGCATATCATATGTTTTACACATGAGAAGTTACTTGAACACGATAACAATAGAGAGAGAGAGAGAGACACAAATCGAATATAATCATACGACATTTTACTGTGAACGTATTTTCTGAAGGTTTTGTAAAATTGTGCTATATGAGGAAGAAAAGAAAATAGATGAAAATAAACTATTTCAAATCTGTCGAAACTGTTTTCTTCTTATATTTCGCTGTTCATCTCTCTCTTTCTATTTACTGTTATTTTTGTTCGAGTAAAATGTCGTATGTAAAGCGCATGATAATTCGATTTTTCTCTCTCTATTATTATCGTGTTGAAGTAACTTCTCATATGTAAACACATGACAAGCAAAAACTGTGTGACTATATATATAAACAAAAAGTCGATAAGGTTTCTGGCTTCTGAAAAACAAACTACATTCGTTTATTCCAGAAGTCCTGCCAATACCTTACATTACTAGATTCTTGTTCAGTTGATATGCACAAATGTTAAAATATACTTCTCAACAGCGCTTAGAAGAAGAGTTAGTTGGAGAAGCATGAAATGCAATTACTGGGAATGTGATAGATGGGATGCATTAACAATATACAAAATTTTTGCTAGAAAATAATTTCGAATCCAGATTGAGATAGTAGGGGCTAGTAGAAAATTTCAAACACTATCAGAATATCTAATTATCTTTCTAAAATGTGTTTGTGTATCCATAATACTTAGGGTTGATCAAAAGTTCGTAGAACGATGATGCTCGTTCCCCTCACACCGTGATCAAAACCTTTGGTCAGCTCTAAGTATATTCTGATAGCGCTTGAATATCTCTATCGTCCAATATATTTGTCTACTGTCCTGGATTTATCTATTGCAAAAGTAACTTGAGTACAATGAAGATACCCTCAATTGACAAGTACGAAAATTCGCTGCTTTTTATGCTTTTTCAAATTATAGACACTAGAAATAAATCTTTATAAAAGGAATTAAACATTCTGATAGAGCTTCAAATTCTCTATCATTCTGTATATTTTTGTCTTACCTTGCATTTATGTGCTGAAGAATAATTTGACTATCATGCAGGCACGCTTGTCAATTGAGGGTGTCTTCATTGTACTCAAGTTATTTTTGCAATAGATAAATGCAAGACAGTAGATAAATATATCGGACGATAGAGAATTTCCAGCGCTATCGGAATATATTTAGGGCTGACCAAATGTTTTGATCACGGTGTGAGGGCAGAATCACCGTTCTACGAACTTTTGGTCAACTCTAAGTAAATTAAAAAACACGACTGAAACTAGTTTTTTCCAGAGGTATATATATATTATATATAAGAGCTGGGTTCATAATCGTCCTATATTTTCTATATTTATGAAAGTTGTCCTATATTATCCTATATTTCAGGCATTTGTCCTATATTTCCTATATTTGGGGGGGGGGAAGTGGGGTTATGCTGAAATGAGTTGTATTTGATCGTGAAAAGACACATGCACTTTCCTACACACATTGCCACTCGTTTCCGCAAAGAACATGTACCCATTGTACGTATTATTTCTTGACTGTTGTATTTGTATGACTAAAGGGCTCTTTTTTGAATAGAATAATGAGTATAAAACTGCTACAAAGTACATGATAAGATGATAACTAAATCTTTCATACATCATCATCAGGAAAATGAAAACAGGAAGAAAATATAACTAATTATATAGTCTGTAAATGTGCGTATAAGACAAAGAAATTAAAGGAACAATTTTACCAATAGGAACAACGTGCCAGTAAAAGAATCTATTGAGATTACACTAGATATGTTATATAAACCAAAGAAAATAGCTGATATACCCTTCAATTGATAACAAATGAAAAGACTACTAGAATTAGCCGTTTGTGATGTACCATTTAGATTTATGAGTAATTATTACGTGCAATCTGATGGAGTAGCAATGAGTCCACCACTTGCACTCATACTTTTATGTCAAAACTCGAAACTAAGTTAAACAGATTTTCTACCAATAAACCATTACTATGGCTTCGATACGTGGATGATATATTTTGCATATTCACAACAAAACAGAATATTAACCATTTTTTTCCTTTGTTTATTTTTTCACCATACTAAACGGTATTCGTTTAGTGAAGAGAGACGTCCTATATTTGTGTTATATTATTAGAGAAGTCCTTTATAAATACTTTTTTCAAATTCTATATTTTCAGGAAGGGTCGGTACGAACCCAGTATAAGAGGTTTTTCTGTTTTATTTAGATATGATGAACACGGCAATACAAAGGGTACCCCTCGTTTCGATGCACTTAAGCCAATTAAACTGAAATGGAATATATCCAATGAGGTAACCAATCATTAATTTTTGCCATCGGATATTTTAACAGAAAATTGTTAAATATTTTAGTGCGAACAGATTATCGAACATAGTTTAACGGCTGCTACTGAATTATATCGCGATGTTGATTTAAATGTCTACGTTCAAGATAATTATGGAAAAGGTTTTATGAAAAAATGTAAATTATCACCGGATGCCTATATTCAAATGGCTTTACAATTGGCACATTATAGAGTAAATTATAGATTCAACTATAAATAACAGCTTTAGATTTGTTATCTATTTATACAGGATTCTGGTAAATTCAATCTTACATATGAAGCATCAATGACAAGATTATTTCGTGAAGGTAGAACAGAAACCGTACGTTCATGTTCAATTGAATCGACTCAATGGGTGAAATCAATGGATGATTCAAGTATTAGCGTAAGTAAGATGTGAATAAGTAATTATCTAAATTAAACTCGATATGTCTCATAGAATGTTGAACGTATTAAATTACTTCGCTTGGCATGTGATTATCATCAACAACAATATCGTGATGCAATGAGTGGAAAAGGCATTGATCGACATTTATTTTGTTTATACGTTGTTTCGAAATATTTGGGTGTTGATTCTCCATTTTTACAACAAGTTTTAAGTGAACCATGGAAATTATCAACAAGTCAGGTTTGTGTTAAGCTCGTGTTGTTGTCGGATTTTTTTTTCAATTGTCATCTATAAAAATTTTTCATAGTAGACGCCAACTAGCTACGATGATGAACGATTAAAACATTTAATTGCATCTAACCGAGATGTGATCACAAAGTATAAAGTAGACACTAATGAGATAACAGCAGCCGGAGGAGGTTTCGGGCCTGTAAGTTGGAAGTAAAATATCGGATTATGGCATGCTTATGTATACATAGGACTCACTGCTTTTTGTTTGAGACACTTTGGCTTATCACTAACACTATTCTTTGCATGAATCTATTTTGCATGTAATTTTTTTTCTTTACTTTACCGTTTTCATTTCTTATTCTTTTTTTTACTAACGATTTTTGTGTAGACACCACATAACTATGAAGAAGATTATTCTGGACGCTATGACGAACGTAGTAAAACTAATTCTGGTGGAGGATTCGGACCGGTAAATATTTGCAGCTATAAAAATCTAAAATCGTTTTAAAATAAATGATTGAATACTAATGTATTTGAAATTTAATTAATTGCTCCATCTTTTTGTTTAATCATATTGATATTCTTAACTGTATGACAAATTTTTTGGATAAAAGATTTCTTGAGGCATTTCGTTTTTGACCAGTAAGATGCCAATATTCAAGAATATTTTGTATATGAGTTAATCTTGTAGAAGAACAAAAAAGCTTATTGTTGTTAGATATTTTGCTCATTTATCAATGTGTTTTGAATAGTACTATATTTTTTGTCGCAGTAATGTGCACTTAATTTGTATGTATTCGATTTGTTTTTCTTTTTTTCAATTCACCAATATCGCTTGTTTTAAATTCACGCTTTCATTGCACGTATTCGATATATTTTATTAATTTCTTATTTAATATAAAATGGTTGTTTGTCGTGTATCTGTCTTTTTTTTTCATTTACAGGTTGCCGACGATGGATATGGTGTTTCATATATAATTGCTGGTGAAGATCTTATTTTCTTTCATATATCATCAAAAAAATCATCATCAGCTACGGTAAAAAAATAGTTCATCAATTTTCAACATTTTTTATATTTATGAATTTTTTTCTCTTATAGGATTCTCATCGTTTTGGTGAGCATATCAGAAAAGCAATGGGTGATATGAAAAGTTTATTTGATAATAATAAATCAGCGGTGACCACAGTTAAAAGCTAAAATGAATACAGTGTATACATGGATACAGTTTTACAATTTAATTCTAACCTTTATTTTGTCTGATATTAAATTCGAATCAAATAATTTATTCTCCAGCATTTGATTGTATTATACAAAATTCGCCGACATTCAAGGATTATTTATGAGTGCGTGCTTTATTATGAGTTCTATAGATCAGTGTTTTCCAATTTATTATAGCCATGGAACTCTTTCATAAAATTTAAAACTTTGCGGAGCCCCAGTAGTATTTTGACATAATATTTGACAAAAATTATTTAAGACTACGTAATTCTTTTTACGTGGTGAAATTAATTTTTATCTTCTTATTTGTTTCTGGCGGAACCCTTGGTTTCACTTCACGGGACCCCATTTGGGAAACGCTGCTATAGATAAAATACGTACTGTAAATATTTTATTACTAAACACATAATATATAATCAATTTCTTTTAATAATAAAAATATTTCGTCTTCTGTGATGTGTTAGGTTTTTACTTTTCTTTTGTGAACATTTATTTGTGTTTAACTTTTTTTTATTGAAAAAAAATATATAGAAAACATATATTTTCTATTTACTATACTTGAAGATATAATGCCTGTAAAACTGCAAAAGTTTTCCATGATTTTTTATTTTTAGTAATACAAAGCAATAGTACATCATAAATGAAAGTAATGTCATCTTCGAACGTCACTTGTTCTCAAATTCATACATATTGTTTAATTTTAAAAATAGTCTTTCAGCATTACATGCCCAACCTCATGATAAAGAACATCTCACAATTTTGATCAATCTAAAAGAATATCATACATTTTCTCTTATTCTAATAGTTTACGTGTTGTTAATGAACCTCATCAGGCGTTTTTTTTGTACTATTTTTATATATTTCAATTTCTAGACGAATGGGTTCTCTGTTTGTTCGTATCCAATCTCAAAGAATTTCTGCTTGTTGAGACTATACGAACATACGAGTACGCACTGTAATCGAAAAAAACAAAATCGCCAAACTTGAACGTAAACGTTACCATGCCCTGTCTTTATCATATGAATCCACGAATAAACTGTCATTGTCAAGGCACAGGATCATCACTTATAATAGAAAATAAATCACATTTACTTTGGTATTATGGCGTATTGCATGGAAAAGTGATCTTTCAAACGGCCCAATCAAATTTGATAAATCTTGCGTCTTAAAAGGTTTTAAATGATTCTCTCTCAAACGGTCTGTTCACAAAAAAACTTTATTCTATCTCCAAGTACGGTTTCTTGCACTACGTTTTCACACTACTTAATCTGCATTAGAAACAGTTTTGAGTAATAACTTTTCAAGGACGGTAAATGGCAGAGAAATGTCAGAACTGCATTTTGAAAAAAATTTCATCTCACATTTTGCTTCGTTAATTTTTAAATTAAATTTTAAAAAAGCCTTTTTACGCGCTTTTCAGTCCTACATTTGAGTTTACTTTTCTAAAAAATTTAAATAAATCCTATTTGAAAGTAAGATGCACGCAAAGCAAAAATGCAGTAAAAACGTTGGTAGTAACTATTTTGTAGTCCTTTGAATTCTACATTTTTCTACATACAAACTATTCCTAATTTGTAATTGTGAAAGAGACTAATCATTTTTATATATTCCTATGGGTGAAAATCGAATTATATATCTAGTATTTAGCCAATAAATCTATGAGGGCAAACTTTTAAAACAAAATATTGTAGTTCATTTTGAAACCCAGAAAATTCTCTATCTTTTGATACATAAAACATTCCGGGTCTGAGTAGAAGCGTCACAGAAGTATTCCTTTATAGTGTTAGCATAGATGAAAATCATGATATCTGTCGAGGAGTATTTTGACAACTGTTTTATATGGGCATATGTTTGAGAAGCTCATTTATGAAGCGGGACAAATTCTCTATCTTTCTATGTATGGGCTTTGGTGAAGCTCTTTGCAATTGTACGAAAAACTTGAGGAATAAAGTGAATAACCTTCGTTGAACTGGTGACGAAAAATGATTTTTTCAAGGAGATCAGAAGCAATTTTGAGAGTCAAAAGTGTTGGGAGGTGAAATGTACCAATATCTTTCTATTCTACTATATACTAAATTCTATCTATTTTTGAACTTCAAAACCCACTTTAAAATTAAAGGTTTCAAATTTTGAGATCGGATTCGGAATTGGAATGTATCAAAACCTTCATTCACATGAGAGAATTTCTTCAGTTCAGTGAAGTCCATCTACAAAACCGGACGCCTTCGAGAGCTCGGAGGTCTTTTTCAAATACAAGTCATCAGGACGCAATTTTGAGAGTCAAAAGTGTTGGGAGGTGAAAAGGGAAGCATTTCTGGTCATTTTCATTCAAAATCATATTGGACCATTTTCTAGCATCTTGTCCTTTCCTGGCATGTTGTACCAATATCTTGATTAAGATCTTAAGAGATTAAATCTCGCTCTCAAGATCTTGAAATTTTTGTTGATAAGATCTTAGCCAAGATCTGATTTCTTGTTGTTTCTTGATGAAAATCTTG